CTGACGGCCCCCGTTGCCCGGAAGCCTCGTTCTGCACCGAATCCAACCTGGCCTGGGAATGAGCAGACACGAGAGCCCTGCAAAGTGCAAATCGACTTCCTTCCACCTCCCAAGAGGCCTCGTGTGCTGGAAGCCACGTGACGGGCACAAAAGGAGCCTCGGACAAACACAGGGTCATCTGCAATTGTGGGGAAAGACACTCAGCATCCAACGGGGCCGACGTCCCCGAAGCGGTCAGTCCGTAAAGTGAACAAACCACAGAAATGCAGCAGTCTTGGCTCACTGAGATGAGCTCATGGCTGGGAAATTCCGGAAGGAAGACCAACAGGCAAGAGCCATTCAGTAAACTGAGGCAGTGGGGCACAAAGCTGCAACAGGTGAAACAACGGGGTTTGGAAATCAGAAGACTGATCAAAGGGATGAATGGGAAGTCCAGAAACAGGGGCGCCTGGGTGGCTCCGTCCATCAAGCGTCCAACTCTTGGTTTCGGCTCAGGTTGTGATCTCGTGGTCGTGAGATTGAGTCGGGCTCCGCGCTCAGCGCAGACTCTGCTTGAGATTCTCGACCCCTCCCTCCGCCCCTCCCGCTCGTGCTCTCTCACTCTCTCGAGAATAAAGAAATAAATCCTAAAAAAAAAAGTCAAAATATAAAGCAAAATGGGAGCATGGGAATTTAGCACCTGACAAAGTCAGCCAGAGTCCGTGGAGGACAGAGAGGCAATTCGATAAATGATGTTAGAAATTGGGTAGTAATCTAGAGAAAACCAAGTTGTTCCTCCTTTTCTCCCAGGGTCAAATCCCAAATGCACCAAAGATGCCAGAAGCACCAGGGAACTGGAAGCCGTTTCCTAACTGTGTCACAAAAGCCAGGAGCCCCGCAGAGAGAAAGCTGGTGTGCCTCTACACAAAAATGGAAAGAAATCCTTCATGTATGTAAAAAAAAAGAAGTCCTCCTCAATGTTATAAGAAAAATGACAAACTGGGAAATACATTTGCAACTGGTTTCTCTCACAGACAAGCGCCTCATATTCCTAATCCTTAAGGGTTCTTACAGACCAGGAAAAACACACCTCAGAGAAAAACACGCCAAAGATGTGACCAGGCAGTGCGTTGGGCAGGCAGCACGTACGCCCTGACGCTCCAGTCCTTAGAAGGGGCGCGTAGAAGCTGAAGGGGGCCATCTGTTGCCTATCAGATGTCGGAGAAGTGGGAGCACAGGAATGCCGGGGCGCTGGCTCAGAGGACCGGCCACGTGGGGACCGCGTGGAGGGGAGAGCACCAGGGCCCACGCCCCAGAGAGTGTTTCCAGGTGCCGAAGATTGGAGAGCACTGTCTGTCGAGCAGCAGAGCCCGGCAGGAGGCCTGTGGAGTGTCACGCAGCGATCAAAAAGAGCAGAGCGCCCCGGTAAATGTGAAAGGGAATCCCTGTACGGCCCAAAGATCCCCCTGCAGGGCACACACCCAGGAGAACGGAAGGGAGACTTGCACACCCATGTTCATGACAGTGCCATTGACAAAACCAGACGGTGGAAGCAACCATGTGGCCTCTCCACACCATGGAACATAATTGAGCCTTAAAAAGGAAGGAAATCCCGACACCTGCTACAATGCGGATGAATGTGGAGGACACGGTGCCGAGTGAGATCAGCCCAGCGCCCGGCGCAGAGGGACCGATCCCAAGGGATCCACTCTCCGTAGGCCCCAGAGGAGTCGGACCCACAGAAATAGGGGCGGGGGCGGGGAGGGGTCCGTGTTCAACGGGGACGGATGGAGGGCGACGGCTGCCCAACAGTGTGAATGTGCTTGACGCCCCTGAGCTGTGCACTTAGAAGGAGCGAGGACAGTAAACCTCTGCGCTGTGTTTATCTTCCTACAACTTTGAAAAATGTCATAAAGACAGAAGAGAACAAACTTGGAAATGTTTTAAAAGAGAGCAGAGCCTCTGTGGCCTGATCAGAACAACCCCCAGCGTGCGTCGGCAAATGACACATGGGTGCCGGTGTGTGCCCGCCCACACGTCCCTAACACGGGCTACCCGCAGGGAGGAGACGGGCTGGCTGAGGCAGGTGGGGAAGGACCCCCACGGTACACCCTTCGGAACCCTGATTTTGAGCCATGCAAGT